AAAAGTTAATTTCGAACCCTGCATATAATTAGTTTTTTAACTTAGAACTACCAGTGAAATACAATAAAATTCATATTTAATTTTAAGACCAATTTTGATTAAGGTCAGTTTAAAAAATTAAGTAAATGGAACAAATCTACCAAGCATTTCAGTATTATCTACTCATTTTTTGTGTGGTTTTCACTTAACCTTACTTTTTTTTTACTTATAATTTCAGTTATATTTACTCAATTATTTTACGTTACTGTACCAACTACAATTATTCATTTCAAATTAATTTGTTTAAGCTTTAGTTATTCAATTGATGAAGTATATTTAAGAAATTTGACTGTTTTTCCAGTCTACTCAATATTTTTGAGTGTAAAAATGTTACATCAAAAATTTTAAGTAAATGTCAGTTTTATTTTTTAGATTGCACAAGTGAGGGGGAGAACGTGTAGAAATCCATATTAATATGCCTGAAGGTCTCATACAATTCAGAAATACAATAACATCAAAAACATCAAAAAAAACATCAAATAACTTTTTTTCAATGTCGGGCTCTTCCTGCGAAACGTATAAGCAAACTTTCCAGTAAACGGTATATCTGCGATGTACTAAAGGACCCAACGGGGTAAATTCCTGCTTCCCTCACTTGTTTTAGCCTGTAGTGTCCTGCCCACATGTTCTTACACAGCAGAAGTATTGTCAACTAAGGGAGCATAGGTTAGTATTTGAGTACTAACCGCTGACAGCTGTACTAATGAGATTTCTCGGTTGAAAGCCACTTAAGGACGAGATGGAATTCAGGTCAGACATGTGTATGCCTTATGATAGACTTAAATCCCACCCAAGGTGTCCTGCAGACATTATTATGGATATGTTAATGTATATATCTTCATCTGTAAATGAGATTTCGCAACCTTAAAAGAAGGAAATCGAACCTCACAAGTATATATATGATACACGCTGAATGGTATCCTGCCCAGAGGTTTGTCATTACTTTATATGGACAAACGGTACATATGCGAACATCCTGGCCGCAGCACGAGCTCGAGAGTGACGTGTTTCTTTATCATTGTGAAATCAAAACAGAATTTTCAAATGAAGATTGTCTTAGGAAATGAAAACATCCAGGCACATTTCAATTCCACAATTTTCTCTGCCAGGACTGATTCCATCCAAACCAAGCGACTCAAAACAAAAGAGTCATAAAGAAAAAGAATGTGATTTCGTTCCAGGACAATTTTTTTTTATTTTATGCTCAGATCAAAGGATTAGAAAAGAGAAGCATGATAAAAACACACATCCAAAACCAAAGGTATCCTGCACTCCTTGGCCATACAACCGTCTAGATGGTGTGCCAATCCATCCCAGGGCACACGTTCACACAGAGTTCAACCAAGGAGACCTCAATAGATAGTTGACAAGTGTTTATTTGTTGAACAAATTTAAATGAGTATGTGAACAGTGATTTGGCGAAGCCCGTCTCTTGGTCGTTGGTTCCATAGACTCTGAAGCTGACAGATCTGGATGGGCGACCAGGCAGGAGGCGAAGGAGCCAAACCCCGGACCAGGCAGGAGGCGAAGGTGGTGGAGGGGAGGAGGTGGGAGAACAGAATAGCTGTAACGGCAAAGAACTGGGTTAGATTTACTCTTTATATAAAACCTGGACCGCTGCGATTGGACACATTAGGATCATTTGGTCTCCTTGTTTGAACTTTCGTATTCATTTCAATTTAGAGACAGCAGCTCACCCAGCTACATGGGGAAACAGGAGTGCATGAAGGAATCCCATGCAATATGTGGAGAACATCCAGACTCCACATGGTCTCAGCCTGAAGTGGGATTCAAATGACTACCACTGAAGTCGTTTGATCTAACCTCCACATCACCCATGGTGATGTGCCAAGTATTTCGTAATAAAGATTTAGAAGCACTTCTCTGGAACTGGACTCCTTCCAGTGTGGGAGGAGTATTTCTCGACGGCTTAGCAGCACACTTTAAAGGGAGCTGCCTGCCTGAACCCTGATGCATTCAGACAAGCTCCAAGACAACGTGGAGAGAGGAACAGCGAGATTCCCGAAGCATCAGCACGCACATCTCTACTCATCGAGTCTCCAGCAGACCATCATGACCACCAGAGTATCATCCATTGTGCTGTTTATCTGCCTGTCCTGCTTGGTTCTTGCAGAAGGTACTTAATTACCTGCCCTAATATTTACATCAATCAGTACTTTAAGGAACATTTGTTGTTCCTTACAGTATTTCAAAAGGGGCTCCCAAATGAGTTGGCGTTAAATTGTTAGCTTTGGATGAGTCCGTTGTGAATCTCTAACTTACAGCATAGGAAGCACCTCTCTGATCACACCCCTTACCCCTCTCCATCCCACAGTACAGAGCGTCTCCTCTGCAGCCTTGTACTGCCGCTGCATCAACACCAGACCCATGGTGCAACAGAAGAGAATCCGGAGGCTGGAGGTCTTCCCCCCCGCCCCACACTGCAGCCAGACGGAGATCATGTGAGTATGCCCGGGGTCACTGATGGCCTCACTTAGATCTGGGGGAGGTGGGGTTGGCATGGATTTTTGGATAAGGAAATTCCGTCATCTGATTGGTAGGAGCCTCTTGGAACCTTTTGCTGACATGTGGACCTGTTTCCTTTTCTCTCAGTGTGACCCTTGGAAACAATCAGAGACTCTGCCTGAATCCAAAGGACCCAGATGTGGAGAGTTACATTAATTTGGTAATGCACAAGTAAGTGCATCCTTCAGCTCTCTACACCTTCTGTGTGTTTGGATGTGGACCTATAATCAGACTGGCTAGCTGTGGTTCCTGAAAAATACTCACACCTATCCTGTGCTGCTTTTGTCTTGCAGAAAATGAACAACCTGGGAGGCCGGCTACTGGATGTATGATTCCCAATAACACAGAGCCCATGGCATTTAGAACCCTTTCATAGATGCATGCAACATCTATACTGTACATACTGCATGTATGTATTGCAGTTGAGCACTCCATAGACTATATTGGTGGACTGCAGTGCCTAAACGGCCCGTGGTGATTTTGTGTGTCTGTGTGTGTGTGTGTCTAAGTGTGTGTGTGTCTGTGTGTGTGTCTAAGTGGGTGTGTCTAAGTGTGTGTGTGTGTGTCTATGTGTGTGTGGGTGTGTGGGTGTGTGTGTATGTCTATGTGTGTGTGTGTGGGTGTGTGTGTTTGTGTGTCTAAGTGTGTGTGTGTGTGTCTAAGTGAGTGTGTGTGTGTCTATGTCTATGTGTGTGTGTGTGGGTGTGTGTGTTTGTGTGTGTGTGTGTGTGTGTGTGTGCATGCACGGACCGAGCACCCCCTGCTCATCCCCACGTGCCCTTGAAGGGACACTAGCATCAGCTTGACCCTGGCTTTTGGATGGTTGTGTGGTTATTCAAAATAAAAGGATATAACGTATGCATGTCTATTGAACAGACATAATGTCCTTGGCATTATTTATTAGTATTTTATACTGATTCATATTTGTTACTTGTGAAGCTGCAATAATGTAATGAAGAATAAATTTTTTCTAATAATTATTGGCCTGGTTTGTTACTTTTGTTTACCTGAGGCTGCTGGATGAGATAGCTGTCACCTCTGTGAGGAGCTGGGCTCAGTTGGTTTCACTGGTAACCCTCTTCAGGTCATGCATTAGGTTCATACTTGCTGTCACAGATGCTTCCTGTCATGTGACCACCAGTGAAATGCTACACCTCTTGCACGGGCTGACCTTTAAAATAACCACAAAGGCAGGGAGGCTGAAGAATAGTGGACCCAAACCTCCATCTCAGCAAGCAGGATATCAGGAAAAAGCTAATGTGAACAATGTGCTTATTATCAGCCTGGGCAATTGGCCTGGGACCAGGGGTGGATCCAACAAGGTGCAATGAGTGTAGCAGCGACTTGTGTTGTACTGACGCAACAGCTGGCTTGGTTGTGAAGGACTGTAACCCTTCCGACAAGCCCGTTTTCCCAGAAAGGCTGTGCTGAAGCATGTTTCCTTTGTTATTCGCCGCACATTCCCATGTCTTCAGTGTTTACTCTCTTCTCTTCTTGTTGCTTTTTGCGGCCACATCCCCGTGTCAAGCTAAGGCCAGATGACAGCTCCTTTAACAACTTCCCCGGAGGCAGACACCTTACGAATGGTTACTTGCATAGTCGTTATTTAGTCTAGGTCCGAACCTCTTGAGCTTGCTGACATTCCCCATTGTCAACATGCCCTTTCGGGTACAGAGAGGTTTGGTGATCAAGGAAAACATCTGGAAACATCTGGACGGAGTTATCGCCGTAACGTATGCTGCATCTGAATCAGCATCCAGCTATGCACAGACCACTTACCAGAGAACAAAAGTCCAATTTCATGGAATTAGAGCAAACAAATGGGCCAGAGTAAACTGCTGCTGTCTGCTGCATCAGTCCCCCTGTTCTCGAGAACACAAAGGAGCAGTTCAATTAGCAGATGTTAGCCTGCACAGTCGCGGGATTTATATAAAGGTGAACAGAGGCAGACACAAATCTAGGCACTCATGCTCAGTGGTGACTGACATGTCACGTATGACTGGAGACATATAATCAGCTTGAACAGTTTGTAAACTAGATACTGTTAGAACGTCATCAATGTACTCCTTGGACAGCTCCTTCACCCGTCCCTCTCATCTAGTCCCTACTCCTTCCACACCCCTAACTTTACTAACTCTAGATGCCACAAAACACCCTCCCTGCCACTCCAAAAAAAAAACTTTCCTAAAAGCCCAGCTCTGTGTGATTTACCTCAATGCAATAAGGTTCACCAGATGTGCCTCAGTGGCTGTCCTTTTGTTAAAGGTTTGTTCAAGGTTGGGGGGTGGGGGGGAGGACACACAGTAGTGAACTACAAGACAAGATACAGAAATGAGTCACAAATGAGTAATAAAATGTGTGCAATATGACAAATGGATGACAGTAAAAAGGAATGAATAACAATAAAGTACGGGTGGATTTTTAACAATGACATCATAATGCAATGGAGGGACAGATGGCAGTGACCTGCATAGCAGACTTATGGTGAAGGCCAAGCAACTGTCTCTGAACTGGGTGCTACCACCATTGAGTAACACTGCTTCAAGTTTTGTGCGACTTCTCTCAAAATGTAACAGTCTAGAGACAATCACCTATACGATGTTCCCGGGAAGAGGAAAAAGACCCATCGAATACTTTTAGACTGACTATGTTCACAAGATCAAGTGTCTTCTGTAGCTGCCATTTCCTTCCTTTGCTGCCACCTAGTGCTGGTGCTTCAATTATGGGGCAATTTATCTCAAAATGAAATCATCTCCATCAATATAATATTCTTGTTATGCAGTAATAAGATCCATCAAATACTTTTTGAATCATCACATTCACAAGGTCAAGTGTCTGCTGCGGTCACCTTTCCCTTTACAGCCACTAAGCGGTACTGCTTCAAGTTTTAGTGTAATTTTTCTCAAATTCAATCAATTCCAGATATTCACACATACAGTGTGCCTGCAAAGTTTTTAAATGACCTGTAAAATACTTTTTGAATTATCGCGCTAACGGGATCAAATGTCTGCGGTGGCCACTGGGGTTGCCGCTTTCAGTCTGGTGGGGGGCATATAAATCACAATTATTTGTATTCAGTGGCCCCATATAAAGTGCCGGACCCCCTGAATCTGCCAGGAAATCCATGGTCCATCCAAGGAACACGATAAATCTAATTTCATATGTGTGTGAAGCATAAATAAAACTATACTGAAGCAAATGCTGTATTAGAAGTGATGCTTTATTTACATAGTTACCTTGGATTGCCGCTCTGTGCTTGGGGTAAGAGAACAAGGTCAGGCTGCTTATCTGGTACCCCTGGTGCATTTGGGAGGTGGGGGGGGGGCGGAATTAAAGGCTCCCGAGCAGAGATGAGGCCCTGTTACTGATATTTGAACCTTGACCTTCTGATCACAGGCACACGAGCTTAGCCCACGGAGTCACACACCCCAGCCCCCACGAGGGCGAAGTGTGTCCTTAAGCTGGGCCAGTTTTCTAGGAAGCGCTTGGAGCATCGAATGAAGCCTCAGAAAGAGAGTCATGCAACCCGGCACCGGGCCAGAAGGACGCACACGTGACCTTGCATTTGACAAATGGGGGCGGACATGGGGCGATACGTTTGTGAAATGCAGTAATTGGTGACAGTAACCTGCCGAAACATGCCAGAGGCAAACCGGGAAGCCAGAGGGGCCCGGAGTCTCACCTCATACCACTGAGCGCTCCCTGTGCTACATCGGTGACACAGTGAGCCCATGGTGAGAGCTCCTGCACTACCCGCAGCTGCAATGCGTCATGGGAAAACGGCAGCTGAATGACAGCATTAAGCACTGAAAGAGCCTTTTAATTTACTGAAAGAGCCTTTTAAGCACTACAGCACAAGGGTAGCTCAAACTCCATTATCTACCACGGTCATAAAGGTTTGGGCTTGACTTAGAAAAAAAGCAATTACAGATAAACAGTTCCCAAGTCATTGTACCTATCCTAACTGCCCTTAGAAATCTTATCACAGGTTTGGAAATCCTAAATATTCAGTCCAACATTGGTTATCAATGTCTGTTACCTAGCAGCCAACACTACTGTTCTCATTTCATTTCTATATAATTTTTATCGTTATGTCATGAGCAGGGATCTCTCTCTCATACATTTTATTGGTTGTGTAAAGGCAATAAAAGAGCAGCTATATGGATTAAATAAGTTTAGCTGTAGCTAATACTGTGTTAGGAGAGCCTTTTTAGGATTTTGGGAAGTTGGAAGCTTGTGTACACTTCCTGTCTTAAGTTAGGATTTGCTTTGTTAATGCCAAACTTGGAAAAATTCCATGTTATGGCGCTTTTCTACTGGCATGCAGGAACCGACCCGTACCCGAGCTGTACCGTGAAGAGAGACCTAGTTACAGCATGGTTCCAGCTCACTTCAGATTTTCACTGCAGAATGTTCAGCTCGGTAAAATCACTGCTAAGTCTGCCGAGCGACAGTGATGTAGAAACTAAGAGATGCATCTTTACTGTTCACACGGTGTACATCAAGATTTACTATATGCTAATTACCTTATTTTTTAGCACATCTGTAATAATCAGCATGTTATGTAAGCATCAAACACTAGCATTAGAATTAGCAAGCATTACGAATCTATTCCATTTAGTTGTTCTGTAGTACTTTTATAAGTAGATGGTTGGAAAGTTCCGAGTTATCAAGAATGCATCAATACATTGTGAGGTGTTATACTACTAATTATGAATAATATATAGAATATATGCCTCACACCTCTGGGACCTGGGTTCAAATCACCATCAGGGTTCTATTGGTTGGTGCTCCATACATGTAGCATCAAAAAGTCAAGGCGGTGTGTGGTTCCGGGGGTTAGGACTATGGGCACATCTCCACTGAACCTGGTAATGTGTGTTTGGTACTACAAGAAAGTACCAAAAGTACTGTACTTCTTGTGCTGTTTTCCAATGGCGTAAAACTGGTACCAGCGCTGAATGTGTTAGGTGTGGTAATGTTTGAGCTCTGTCCCTGTTACTGTGTGTTTGTTGCCATGCTTGATTATCCTAGCCCCGCTCTGTGAGTTGCCCGAGATCCCTAGTGTGGTTATTTTTCCGGTTTAGTTCTGACCCCTCATGGTCCCTTTATTTTCTGTTTTCCCCTTTTGTGTTCCGTTCTTTAATAAACTTCTTGTTGTCTTGGAGCCTCACCATGGATCGTCACCTACTTTCCTGCCTGCGCCATGCCCCGCCACAACAGAATGACTCTGCCACAACAACAATCCCATGGGGATTTGGGATCTTTATCCCCCGGCTTCTCTCCAGCTCAGATTCAGATTCATGTTCACATTCAGATCCTTTATTGTCATTGTACAGAGTACAATGAAATTTTAGCAGCAGTCCAGTCAGTGCATTCACACAAACAAGTAATATGAGCAATACAGGACATAACAAATAATACCATGAACCCAGTGAGGACCTACGTACTATAAATAGATGAGGAAAGTACAATCAGTGCAATTATCAATGCAGTTAATACAGATAAAGTGCAGCTGAATGTAAACATTGTAGTGCTGTTTCAAGTGAGCATAGTGACAAAAACTGACATATGGAAACTATTTTACATAAGACATCACACAAGACATGACATAATAAGATGATGTTAGGATAAAACAATAAATTAGAATATTGCATTGAGGTTGCTGCAGACCCCCAGGCCGGCGATATACTTCATTTCACGTATCGCTTTGGAGTAAAAGCTGTTCCTTAGTCTGTTTACAGATCCCTGCCCAGAGGAGGCCGTCGCCCATCCGGAGCTTACAGACCCCTGCCCAGAGGAGGCCGTCGCCCATCCCGAGCCTACAGATCCCTGCCCAGAGGAGGCCGTCGCCCATCCCGAGCCTACAGATCCCTGCCCAGAGGAGGCCGTTGCCCATCCCGAGCCTACAGATCCCTTCCCAGAGGAGGCCGTCGCCCATCCAGAGCCTACAGATCCCTGCCCAGAGGAGGCCGCTGACACACCTGAGCTTCCAGCCCCCTGCCCAACAGAAATGGTACCTGCTTCACCCAAGCCCCCAGATCCCTGCCCATGGGAGTCCACCACTGCCAAGCTATCCTGAGCTGGCCCTAGCGTTGCTCTCAAGTGCCCAGTGTACGTGTGTTTGGTGGGGGTTATTGCCAGGGTCAGTGCCCATCTGTTCCTTTTCTATGTTTCTTGTCAGTTTAGGCTAGCAAACCACGCTTGTCACCCTGCTTCCCTCCTCTGTCTTGTAGTCTTTGTCCCTAGCATGCTTCCCTGCTCTGTCTTGTAGTCTTAGTCCCTAGCATGCTTCNTCCCTAGCATGCTTCCCTGCTCTGTCTTGTAGTCTTAGTCCCTAGCATGCTTCTCTGCTCTGTCTTGTAGTCTTAGTCCCTAGCATGCTTCCCTGTTCCCCAGGCTGCCATGTTGCTCAATGGGTTGAGTATGTGGTGCAGATGCTGAAACTCTTTGGTCAGGACTTTGAAGCTGGCCAGAGACCAACCTCACCAGTTTTGCTGGCTTTTTGGTTTTCTGTTTTTCCCTCGTGTTTATTTGTTACCTCTGCTTCCCTGATTCGGTTTGCCCTGGTTGTGTCCTGTTAGATTTTGGTTTTACTTGTTTGTTGTTTTTTTCTGGTGTAGTCAGCCCTCTGTGTTATGCTGTCTAGTTTCTAGTTCTGTGTGGTTAATGTTTCCTAGTTTTGGTGTTTATTAGAGTTCCCTAGTTCGGTGCTCGTTTACTGTAGTAGTGTAGTTTATTCCACCTGTTGCCTGTTCTCTTGCTCCTTTGTTGATTGGTTGATGTTGTGATGGTCCACACCTGCCTTTTGCTAGTCCTTGTTACCTATGTTTTTAAGTGCTTGCCCTCCTTCTGTTTCTTGTGGAGTCATTGCATATGTTAGTTGTGGTAATGTTTGAGCGCTGTTCCTGTTACTGCATGTTTGTTACCTTGCTTGTTTTTCCTAGCCCTGTTCCTTGGTGGAGGAAGTACTGAAGCTTAGTACTTAAGTAAAAGTACAAATATCCTGCAAAATATGTACTCAAGTAAAAATAGAAGTGCTACATTAACAATCTTACTTAAGTGAAAGTACTAAGTACTTACTTTTAAATTTACTTTAAAGTATTTTTTTAAGTAAAAGTACTCACACAATGGTTTGTCTTAATGTCTAGGGTGTGCCATTTTGTAAAAGAATAGTAGATATACTGACTTACACCTCTACCGATGTCATTACTCGTAATAATTACAAGCAACTATGCAGCATATGTGTACTGGAAAGTTTGGTGTGCTTATTGTGCGTGCACTCTGCAATACTGTGTGTACCCTAACTTAGAATTATGTGGATGACAAGTTATCTACAGTACTAGGTATTACCCACTAATATACCATTAAGATAAACCAATCAGGACATGATATATCTTTAAATCATTTATGTACTTGCAAAACTATTCAACACATCTTCCATCATTGGAGCTAATAAAGCCACCTGATTGGTAGGAAATGGCAAACAACGCCAGAACGCAATAGGCTAACTATTTTTTCATGCAAGATTTTGAGATAATTGTGTTCATAAAATGTAACGACTTACGGCATAAATTGTTGAAATGTAGTGGAGTAGAAAGTACAGATAATTACCGCAAAATGTAATGGAGTAAAATAAAAAGTATGCATTATTATTTTTACTTAAGTAAAGTACAGATACGTAGAAATGTACTTAAGTACAGTAACGAAGTACAAATACTTTGTTACATTCCACCCCTGCTTGTAGTATGATTGGCTGATTGCGAGGTAATCCCAAAAACCCGCGCCCACAACGGATCAGGTTCCCCACCCCTGGTCTATGCATTTCACCAAATTTTCACCTACTTTGAAATGTTCCAATATGCAGAACAAAGCAGACGTTTCCTGGGCTTGAGAAGTGGCCTGGTGGGCAGTTGGAGAAATACCATTACAACTATCCCAGACTGTGGTTGCCATGAACCATAAGCCATGAGTTTACCTTGCATCTAAAACCAGCAATATTAGCACAAATAACTTGTATAAAAGATATTTGCAGAGGCACATAATAAAAATGATTTAAATTTGAATAATGTAAGTACAAAACTTGCAGTGCTATCACAAAAATAGATGTAAAAAAAGACAAATTACTTTATTACCTCAAATTTAGTTTTTCCTTTCAAATCTGAGTGTGTTTGCTACAGAGTGCTCCTTCTTCACATGTAAAATAAAGGCTAAACTGAGCATGTGCAGAGTGAGCTATGTGATTTGTACCTCATTCCTGATATGAAAAATAGACTTTCCCTGGTCTCCCCTAACTGGTGCGATGGAAAAGCATCCAAAGATCAGGTTCTCTGATACTGTATGGGCAGGGGGTTTAAGTTTTGCTAAAACATTTCTAATCTGTCAATGGAAAACAAAAATGCAATAAGTTTTGAAATTTTAATGATTAATTATTCCTTTCCAAGATTGTCTAGTGTATGTTTTAAAGATTACCTCTGTTGCTTTTGCATGAGCGCTGCATGCATTCTCCGAGAATCAAATTATAAGCATTTTCATCCTTGCTGTTTAAAATCACTCCTAGATGGGTTTGTGAAAGAACTCCTTTTTTGCTTTTTAAATGCCCCAGTGTTTATTACAACAAAATCACATCACACTATGTGAAAATTTTCCAATACCATACTGCCCTAGTATATTATACAAAATACTTTATATTTCCTGTCATGCCATCCTGATCTTGTTGTATCTGTTTCCCGACCAGATTTATAAGCTTGGGTCTCTTCATATGTCCACGCATCATAACTTTTCATTTTTTTTACTTAGTTCATAGTTGTTTTCCGAGTTGGCAACTTTCTTCAAGACTGCATTTGTATTGTGTTTCAGAGGCAGGCTATTTGCATAACCAACTGAGAAAGAAAGTGTTTCAAGTCCCACCCCAAAGTACCAAAAAAGTACCCCAGCCGGTCTGGAAGTTTAGGTACTGGAACTTTTATTACTGGTACTCAACCGGAAGTCAGTAGGAAAGGGAAAGTACCAAAAGTACGGTACCTGGTGCAGTGGAAAGGTGCCATGTGTGCCTGTGCCCAGAAGGTCACTGGTTTGAATCCAGGGCTGACAGAGTGATACAACTGTTGGTCTGTGGTCAAGGCCCTTAACTCCCAGCTCTCCCTGCACTATGACGCCAAGCATGCTCTCGTCACTTTATGTATGCATATGCCTCAAAAGGAGAGAATGAGGGACTGCGTGAGAAGAAGCATTCCAAAGTATGTGTACAAATGGCAAATAAAGTATCACTACGTTTCAGTTTAATCCTTCAGCAAGACCTGACCCAGGGCTTGACAGAAGCCAGACATTCGGCAGCTCTCCCTGCCCCTTCCCTAACGGATCACTGTGCAGAGTGTTGGCTTTATACTCTGCCTTTCTTACAGCACCTTTAACTGCACTCAACAGATAGATCCGGGCTGCTCCCTGATGTGTTGAATGCATTAGTGGAACAATAGCCAAGCTTTGTTGTACGATTTGTGATAAATGACAGGAAGCGGTCAATGTTTCGTACATGTTTTTTTCCCCACAGTGTTTCTTCCAGGGAACAATTAAATGACATTAAAAATAATGTTTTTCTAAATTCCATGGTCTTTCCCAGCATTTCTTGTTATTTTTTTTATTTTTTTAGCCATGTGATTGCCAATCATGAAATTTTGATGCTCAACTTCCCGTTTCTGCTTTCAGTCTTACTTCAGCAGTGTTTTCGACATTTTTACAAGGGACCTATTGTAGGTACAAAGCGAATTCCCACAATGAGAATCATGACACACGTTCGTCTGAGCTCTGCCCTGGCCCGTGGGGACAGGGAGCCGCAGGGGGGTGTGTGGTACTGAACCGGCTGACCTGCTCCGCACCCCGCCCCCCCCCCAGCATGTGCCATTTCTCGTGACACGCAGATTGTGGGGCAAGCTCATGACTGTCCCCACAAGATGTGACATTTCAATGCACATACACAAGCAGAAATATAGAGGCACACAGAAACACGAGGAGCACGAAAGGCAGGTGAGCTCATACTGTACATACGTAAGCAAAAACAGGCTCGCACTGAAATTAGGGCGAATGCCCGGCAATTTCAAAGATGCTTGAAAGGAAGAATATGGATGACATGAACACACAATACACACAAGCACCAATACACGTGGAAAAGACACACACATACAGAAGCACATGGGTAAGTATATAAACAAACACCATCCATCCATCCATCCATGTTCTATTCCCACTTCTCTTGTTCAGGGTCTCAGGGGTCTGGAGCCCATCCCAGAAGCTACAAGTGCAAGGCAGGGAATAACCCAGGATGGGGTGCCAACCCACTGCAGGGCACACATACCATTCACACACACATTCCTATTTACGGATAATATCACACACCAAGCCACAATGCCAACCACACAACAAACAAAGTTCACAGTCACACACAGAGACACACTGCAACACTCACACATCATACTGAAACAGATGCTATTGGGATTTTGTAAAATTCCACACTGCCTGACAAGCACATGACCTGAGTTTGTATGTATATATAAATGTCAAACGAGTACCATGGGCAGACCAGGACGGCTAGGGAGACCAGGACGGCTAGGCAGACCAGGACGGCTAGGGAGACCAGGACTGCAACCTCAGGATGGACACACGCGTGCTACTGGTGCTGCTCGGCGCCGCCGTCCTGCTTGTGCACGGTGAGCCTTCTCCTGCTGCTTGTGTGCTGCATCCTGAGAACACCGTGGTTCCTACAGTCAGCAGCATATCACAGCCGACGACCTTTATATTAACAATCTGAAATTAGGTGTTTGGTCATTTTTGTGTCTATTTGATTTTCACAAGGAATTCTTGTCTTTATGTCCCGACTAATCTGCAAAGAATGCACCCAGTTTACAGATAATTCAGAAATGGTTTTGTGTAATTCAACAAAGGATTTCTGCAGTATTACTAAGCTTATGTGAGACAATGTATGGAGCAACTCTGTAATGACACACTAATAAGGCATTGCCAAACAATCAAAATGAAAGACATCATCGATCACAATCATACTTGACCAATTTAGTCATACTTGTGTGTGACTAAATATGTATGTAAATATGTATTCTTTGGTATCAAATATGATTTATTTTTTTCATAATATACAGCTCTGGGAAAAATTGAGACCAAAGCAACATTTTTAGTTTCACTTATTTCTCCTGCTTCATCTCATTCTTATGTACTGCTGTCTTAGAAACTTTTAGCCAGGGAGCAGCCTGCTTCACAGTATAGCCTGCTGCCAGCAGAACCAGGATTAAATCAGGATCTTAAGGTTGCAGATTCTTAAAAAACATGGAGTGGTTTTCCAGAGCTGTATATTAATAATTCATTATAGCATGATAAGAAAATTTGTGATAAAGAGTATTATGAAATTTCCATTTCATAATATCCCCTTGCTGTTCAACCAATTCTCGATAACTACTGATGACTGTATAGCACCAGTTACATGTGGGCTTCCTCGAGCTTCATTTCTTGAACTTATTTGCCATTTATACACTATATGTAAAAATGTCCCGGGACAGACCTCTGAAACACTGTAGTCAGGTGTTTCATTCAGACTCATTGCAGCAGGTGTATAAAATCAAGCACTAAGCCAAGCAGTCAGATTTTCAAACATTTGTGAAAGAATGGGTCACCCTGAAGAGCTCAGTGAATTCAAGCATGGTTCTGTTATAGGATGCCACCTTTGCAGTAAGTCAGTCTGTGAAATTTCTTCCCTGCTAGATAACCCACTGTCAACTGTAAGTGGTATTATTGCAAAGTGGAAACGTTTAGGAACAACAGAAACTCACCCACAAAACACAATGTGGCAAACCACATAAAGTAACAGAGTGCGGTTGCCAAGTGTGTAAAAGTTGCTGACGCTCTCGTGACTAAGGCTACGGTCACACTGCCAGCTACATCGTTCAATTCCGATTTTTTGTTCAGACCGGATTTGTCTATCTTTACGGTTCACATTCATAAGTACAAGTGACCTGTATCTGACTGTAATGTGAACGCATCAGTCCTCTGAAACGTCACGCATGAGCACATTGATACGTTTTTACACGGGTATAAAGCTGGTCGTAAAATTGGCATGTTGTGCAGCCATGACCGCTGCGCTGATTCGAGTCTTTTGCCTCTTTAAACTTTGACTTCAGGCTCTTTATTTTTCTTTGGCATTGTAGCCACATTCGTGTCCGCACTGTCAATTATTTCAAATACTACTCTATTACGATAGGTTCCTTCCGGTTTAGCTTGAACAGATTAATTTCCCAAAATATCAATTAGATCCCCACCTTCTCCATCCTTCCGCTGACTGTTATCGCAGCTCTCCTCCGTTTTTACCTTCCTGCGCTGCCTGTGCAGGCTGATGTCAGCGCATGCATGTAAGCGAAAAGCCACATGAATTCCGATCTGAGCGTTCACATTCAGGCCAATCACGCTTCTCTGACTGGCAGTCCGATGGACAAGTCTGGGTTTGACGGGCGCCAGGAAAACATTACCTGCCTGACTGCATTGTGCCAACTGTAAAGTCTGGCGTAGGAGGGATACTGATATGGGGTTGTGTCTCAGGGGCTGAGCTAGGCTTTTTGGTTCCAGTGAAGGGAACTTTTAATGCTTCAAAACGCCAAGACATTTTGGTTTCCAACTTTGTGGGAACAGTTTGGGGAAGGCCCGTTTCTGTTCCAGCATGACTGTGCCCCAGTGCACAAAGCAAGGTCCATTAAGACATAGTTGGCTGAGTCTGGTGTGGAAGAACTTGACTGGACCCCATAGAGCCCTGACCTCAACTCCATGGAACATCTTTGGGATGAATTAGAACAGAGATTGCAGCATTTATACATTGTATTGCCAAAAGTATTGGGACACCCCTCCAAATCATTGAATTCAGGTGTTCCAGTCACTTCCATAGCCACAGGTATATAAAATCAAGCACCTAGGCATACAGAATGCTTATACAAACAGGAGCTCAGTGAATTCAAGTGTGGCACCATGATAGGATGCCACCTGTGCAATAAGTCCATTCGTGAAATTTCCTTGCTACTAAATATTCCACGGTCAACTGTTAGTGGTATTATAACAAAGTGGAAGCAATTGGGAACAAGAGCAACTCAGCCACGAAGTGGTAGGTCACGTAAAATCACAGAGCTCCATATTGAAGCCAATGTATTAAGAATGGGATGTCATTAAAGTGCATGTGTATGTAAAGGCAGGTGTCCCAATACTTTTGGCAATATAGTGTAGCTGCAAAGGGGGGACCAACTCCATACTGATGCCAATGGATTTAGAATAGGATGCCATAAAGGTTCCTGTAGGTGTAATGGCCAGGTGTCCTAATGCTTTTGTCCATATAGTGTATGTAACCAATGGGCCGTACCAGTGCAGTTCCACTAGATGTAGGGTTCTGGGAATAATTTTTATTCCAATCTGCATTTCAGCAACATGTAGAAAAGTCCAGCCGTTTGAATATCACCAGAGAAGTATACAGGAAATGGACAGAATGTTTGTGTATTTCTGCATTTGGATTATTCCTACATCGTGTGTGTTTTGTTGATTTAATACTGCATTAGAGAGCAGAAGATACCCACAACGTTTTAGAGCTGTACCAAATATTTATTTAATGCTGTGTTTCTCTTAGCACTTGACGAGTCCAGGCTGATGGTTTATTCTTTCCCCTGTCGGCGTAAAGTTTTCACTTTTACTTCTGTTTCAGAAACACACAGCCTGGGGATGGGCCACATCAGAGACTGCATGTGCCAGAAGTACGAATCCAGACTCATCCCAGCAGGGAAACTGAGGAGGGTGGAAATCTTTCCCAGGGGACCCCACTGTTTCACCTCTGAAGTGCTGTGAGTATCGGGCTTCTTTCAGCTTAATCCTTATTATTTCATGGCTATAGCTGTTGATTAGTCATATTTTCAGCTTTGCTTTCATGCTCCATTGATGTGTAATATTAGCTTTTACAGACCCACTTTAATTTAGTTTTATGTAAGCTGGTGGACAGATGAACAACCCCCCCCCCTTAACTTTCCCACGTTATGAAAGATCTTCTGGTTGGACTCTAGCGTAGTTCCCCAAACTCGACGTCTGTTTGATGTCTCGCTCCTTCCCCATTCTGAATTTGAAACAGTGGTCTTCTCCGTTTATACATCACCCCCGCTTCTTAAAACCCGGCCCATGAAAACCTGCTGGGTGTCTGTCCTTGCTTTGTCAGAGCTACCTTGGTGGGAGGTGAGAAGGTCTGCTTGAATCCCAGGGTCCCATGGGTGAAGAGGGTCATACAGAAGGTCTTGGAGAAGCGGAAACAGAAATGAACCTGGTAAACAATCAATGGTAAACCATCCCTCTAGGTTATGGATGTTTCACTTCAGCCCTGTGCACTTCCCAGCTGAGGATAAACACGTAGGCAGGCAGCTCTGTATCTGGAATGATCCTCTTAGATAGACCTGACTCACCCGACCCCACCCCCCTTCCAAATTTCACCCCCACAGAGACCCCAAGTTTAAAGTGATCGACCTGACGGGAAATCCCCTCAAATTTCTCCTCTGATCGCAGAAAAATGGCAAGTGGCTCAATGGCCAATGCCGAACAATAGGGGGGATAGAGGACACCCTTGCCCTGTCCAATCAGCCTCCATTTAAGTTACATTCCTGTTTTATACATCAACTAACGTGTTTGCATTATTTGTGTCATATATAGTACCATGCGAAAGACTTAGACAGCCAAAGATGATGATATTTATGTTGGTATAAAACTTTGCTATTATGCCTGACAAAGTGTATTAGCTTAGGCATTTCAGAACCTCAGTCACCCCAAAATTTGCAGCAACCATCTAATACAACCATGTATTTTTTGACTCGACCACAACCCCACCTTGTATAGCTAATCAATATCTCATTGACGTTTTTTAAAAAATTTAACAAACACATGGAATGACTGAGGTGCCCCTGAGGAGAGGTTTAGGAACTGAAACGGTGTTCATCTAGCCATCCGTCAAGTTGTCAGTAACTTTTTTGAGAACAGAAGAAAATTTTACTAGTTTTTATTTCATTACTTTTTATTTGCATATGCTCTAATGTTAACCTGTGTTTTTTGTTCTGAGCAAATGTGCACTTATTACCCAGGTAAATAAGCAGTCCAAAGAAATGTTTAAAGCTAAGACTTTTGTACGGTGCTGTATGTAAAACTGTAATCAGTGAAGAGGAATCAGACTGTCTGAAAAATAATTATGCTTTCCAAAGTATCTGAAACCTGTTGTTTGCATGGAGAAAAGAAGCTATAAAATGGATGTTTTCTTTTTTTCAGTATTTTTCAGCCCTTTTACTACTTTGTGAAACAGCAGATATTAACGGTAATAAATCTGTGAACCGCTGCATTATGATGCCTCGTCATAAAAACTGATTACAGGCATCGAATTCCGCAAGGTGTTGCTTTGGCTTCCACACCTCAAGGCTCTTCACTTCACACCCCAAAAGTTCTGAGACGTCAGGACTGGAGAGATACTCATAAATTTTACAGCATGAGACGACCCGTTTGCAACATCAGAGTGCCAGCGACTTCTGGAATGCATGATTAGGGATACCTCCCCCTCACAGTGTGGTTCTGTGTTTACGTAACGGAGTGAAACCGGCATGGAAAATCTCTGATAGCATCTCTCCAAAGGGCAAGACATCACAGTCTTATTATTGTTTCACCTTATCTTATGTCATCTTTTCCAAACCTGCAGATCCTGCCAAAAGGGCACAGGCTGTTTATGACACATTGATGTGATGGGTCTCATTTCAGTCAATACAGAAAACAGGCATGGGCTTAGACAGCGACATCACCCTGATGGTGGGATGTGGCCAGCCCAGTTTCACAAATTATTCATTTATAACAAAACATGCTGAGGCTAATTAGAGTTATCCATGTGTATCCATGTGTGAGTGTGCCATGTGATGGGTTGGTGCCCCATCCTGGGTCGTTCCCTGCCTTGTGCCTCCAGGATAGGGCTCCAGACCCCATGACCCTCAATAGGATAAGTGGTTACAGAAGATGGATGGATGATAATGTATTAAGCCAGGATACAACCTAGTCAATTAGCTGCAATGAACATAATGAAAGCGTAATAAATAAATAAGGAACAGAAAGTTAAACAGACGTGTAACAGTTACAATAAGATATCAGAGAGAAGGGAGTTCAGGTGCAGAGCTCTGGACAATTCAAAGGTTGTAGATGGATGTAGAGTTGATGCCAATCAGCAGGAAGTTAGAGAAAGTGAGGCGGCTGGAAATGAGGATTCTGTGGTTGGTTGGGATGTGGGTGATATTACGCAGGTGTAAAGTTCCTGCTCATAGATGACATGTGGTGTCTAATGGGAGAGAAAGGTCCGGAACTTCACTGAGGTTCAAGAGAGACAAAGGGCTGTGCCATGAGAGCCATAGCAGCTGATGCTCGAGGGATGTGAGACACCCAGGTCTTGGTTGCAGGCAGGCATGCTTTGATTTGGGGGGGGGGGGGNGGGGGGGGGGAACAATTTATTGTGAACTGTCAAATAATACAACTGAGTGGGAGGATGCATAAGAGGCCCCAGGACCAAACTTTAATTAAGTAATTAACATTTTTCATACACTCTTCATCAGCACCAGAACTCAATGTATGGTCAGTCAACATTACCTTCTAGTATAAATGCACCATTGGAATTTTATTGTGAGCTTGCAAAACAAAATTATCTTCCTCTAGGCCTGAAAACAGTCTACCCATCTGCTAACCTCTTACCCTGATCGGAATTATGGGGGTGTAGCCTATTGCATCACAGGGAAACATATAAAATACATACAAAAATACACCAAAATGAATTTAATACCCTCTTTGTAAATGCATCAAAATAAACTGCAAAATGCAGCCACCAAGTAAAGCATCAAAATGAACTACAATATTTTGTATTTAAAAAATACATTTTGCACACATTTTGCACACATTTTGCACACATTTTGCACACTTCTATATCAGCCTGTTCCTTCACAAGCATATTGACTGAAAAGGCCAGGCGTAAGCAACACAGCTTCACTGCTTAAAAAGACACAATGCAAGTATGAAACCAAATGAAAGATTAAATATTGTGAGGCCTGTTTCCCCAAAGCTTAGCTGGATAATTTGTCAGATTTAAGGCATTTTGGGTTAAATGTAAGTGAACAAAGATAAAGTCCATTTAAACTGGTGTACCATAAATCCTATAAGATATCCTGCAAAGCAAGACATTCTGCTTCATGATACAGACCCCTGAAGGGCCTTAAATATATCCCAGTTACTCACATGAACACTCAGATAATGGTAAGTCAATTGAATGGAAAAATAATAATGACAATGTGTGATAGGTTTTTTTTTTATAATTATTTGCTACCACGGATGCAAATAACTCAAAACAATTTAAAACGAAAAAGGACAAACAATGTTAGTGCATCACTCACCAAAACACAGAGAGCCTCCAAACTCCGCAGATACAGAGCAGAAGGGGATTGAAAGGCAACAGCACTGCCCACTGAAACTAATACAGAGACAATTATTCCAAAGCAACACCGCTCTTTGGGCGCAGCTGAACTGAACCTTTTAGAGAAAGTTACTTTGCTGCAAAGCACAGAACACATATTGAAGCTGCTGTGGATAATCATTCATTTTTAGATGTTTATCAGCAGGTTGCAGTTTAGTTTGGGATGCTGCAGTCACAACATGAAGTTGGGCCTCCATACATCTCAGCTTACACCCCCAACTCACGAAAACCCCACCACTGGAGAAGTAAAGGACCAGGGAAAGCTGGGCTCTTTGGATCAGTCCCACAAAAAGTGAGTCATATGGCTGAGTTATCTATCAAAGTCAACGGAATTCTCAGGAAATGTGTGAAATCGGGGGACTTATCCGTCCTGGCGAGCTGCAGAAAGGGAAGGCAACACGGCGACACAGAGAAGGCAGCAGGACTGTCAAAACTGAGATATCGATGGGAACTGGGGGAAAACCATTTTTGGACAGGACAAAGAAAACATTTTGAAACATTGTGAGAATGAATAGGGTGCCAGGGTGACTCAGTGAAACATTAACAAACATTGCATTGAGTTAGGAGGGAAAAAAAATCACAGTGCCTACATGAAGTTATTTGAAAGATCTGTGTGACACGTTAAGGGGCAGCAAGTGGCCCAGCGGGCTAAGCCTGGGTGCCCGTGATCAGGAGGTCCCCAATGTGAGCCTGCCCTCAACAGACAGAGTCAGAATAGGACCCTCACCCTCCAGCTCCATGGGTCACTCTTAATTTTCATAGGTTCTAATGTTAAATTGCTCTGACTGAGGTGAATGTGCTAGGAAGAGCGAGATGGGATAGGCAAATAGACCATTTCCCCACAGGGATGTCTGCACACACATGCACACTCATCTAGTATTAGTATTGCATAATCCAAAGCAATATTGCTTTGAAAAATTAGCACAAAAGTAAAACGGAGTATCTGATCCTGGATAAGAAAACATGAGATTTCCAAATCAGGATGATTCTGATCCTGATAAAACTCTGAACAATGGGCCCAGCTGTCCTGAAGATTGGGCTTGCGGAAACTACCAGTATGACCTGATGCAGGACAGACCCTTTGTTCCCCAGATCTCTCTGGGTAAAAGTAGATCTGCCAAGCTCCATGACATGATTAATTTCAGAACGACCCCAAATATTCAATGGGTACATTCTTATGTTCTTTTTCTGACAATAATGGATGAAAGTGCTCGTACTGCTGCAGTAATTATAAACGCAGTGTTGCCAACTGTGGTCAGCTAGCAGGAGTGAGATTTTCAGTTCGAGACAAGTCTGCACACACATGCACACTCATCTAGTATTAGTATTATCATTATTAATAATAATGATAAGAAGAAGAAGAATTGCACTTTATTGATTTAATTCTCATTTTGCCTACCCCATCTTGCTCTCCATGACATACAGACACATATGTAGGTGAGACCAAGCTTATAAGTGAAGGGCAGCCACCTGCAGCAGCGCTCATGGAGCTGGGGGTTAAGGGATTGCTCAAGGACCCACAGATGTGACCGTTCTTACGACAAATCTATATTATTCCATTATATAAAACTAATATGTTACATCAAAAGCGTTAGGGTAGACTGCAAATCCTGCACACCGTTCACAAGGTAATACAACTGTTAAAAACATGTGAATGCGTGTTCAAACTTGTCTGAAATTGATAATCACGCTCCAGCCTGTCCCGTTTGGCAAGCGGGCGAGCGGCGAAGCATGCAAACAGAGCCGTAAAGACGGACAGACGGGGTTTATTGCGGGTGGACTAGCGGACAAGGAACAAAACATAACAATACAATGACGAATCTCGGTTGAAGACTGACTGAGACTCGGACTAAATACACAAGACAAACTGAGTTTAACGAGCAACAGTGGAGAACAAGCAGGCATAAACACGAGGTAACGAGGTGGGCGTGGCACACACAAGGATCGTACGGAGCTGGGCGTGACACAGCCAAGGCTTGTAGCTCTGCGGCCACCTGCACACTCACTGCGCACGTGTGAGCTGCCAGGTCGTCGGGTAATGATGCTGGAAATCAGGAGCAGTCCGGTTCTTAATACGTGATTCCGCCTATTTCTGCGCCTGAAAGTAGTGATAGGAAGTTCGATTCAATTTACAGAACAGATTCTGTCGAATTGTTCGTTTAAATGATTCGAACAGTCGATTCAAAGAATCTGTGGGGCGGGAGGACGTGCTTTCATCCATGCTGTTTAAATCACTTATAGACGGGTTTATGAGAAATGTATGAACTCCTATTGATTTATAAATGCCCCGACATTTTTGCAACAAAATCAGATTGCCAGGACAGCGGCGTTTGTTACTGTATTAGCCATGTATATCGATCGCCCCAGGTCTAATTAAAATGAAAAACAATCATGTAAGCAGGTTTTAGCTTTTAAAATATATAGTCAGCCTCCAAAAGCCTGATAAAATCTTAGTACTCTCAGAAATTTGCAAACATATTGTATAAAATGCTTTAATTAAAGGATAGAAAGCAACACCAAAGCCACAACATACAAGTATATAACAAATGCTGTTCGCAAAGGCTATTGGTATCGGCACTTTACTAACCGGTTCTTTTAGATTTGAAAACAGGTTCGATCAATTAAGTAAAAAGAACCGATTCAATTAAAGAAACTATTCAGGAATGGTACGTGATCACTACGTGAGTTCGTCATGTGAACTAGTTTTCCAGCTTATTACTGGAAATTAATGCGTTTTATTCTTATATTAATTTATGTGTTGTAACTTAAGCAGAGAGGTACAGCTAAAGACAACAGTATTATCCATCTGCATATAGGTGTCCCTTAGCTTTTATCTGTTGTTTCCGTTAGTCTTGTTAGCAGCGTGATAGTAACACGGGCAGGGGCCGTACTTTAACATTTGATCAAAAGGGGTAAAACTAACGTTACATAGACTGTTCGTGTGGAATACTGCCGATATCAGGTGAGGTTAATGATCGCTGCATCGCATCATCATCGTTCAGGTTCGCTGATAACTTTAGCCTAGCTTGTGACAACAGTGTCGATCGTCAGTGCTATGCGGATTTTCGGTGCCGCCTATTGGCCAGTTCTGGTACTGCGAAGAATGACACCACTTATATCGCCGTGCGGTCTACTACACTAAATGGCCACTTTAGTGTAACTTGTACGTTACCGTGTTATCTCTGTTCTTATACAACATCGTGAATTATTTAACAGTATATGTGCAAAACATAATGTATAAAAGTGTGTTTATTTTAACATAAACACACCCAATGCTAAAAACACATGGACTGATGTCTGCTTTGCGCAAAAATAAAAAACAGCTGTGCAACCAGGACCTCATTGCTGGTGCCTAAGACTTTGATTGCACAATACAATAACCCCATATAACACTATGTAGTGAAAGAACAATTTCAGTGATCTCAACACATTTTACTGGTTTTTTTAGAGCTGAACAAACAGATATGTATGACCTTTGGCACCCACCGCAAGCTGGGAGGCAACAAAAACATGGAACATCTTGGGGTTCCCGTGGACCAGGGCAAGAAACACTGCTCTTATTCAATTCTTCAGCATTACATTCACCTGGTTACTTGTTTCAGCTGGGACTTCCCAGGCTAACACCATATTAAAATCATTTTCCAATTAAAAAAAACCTTCAATGTAGTTCTTACTGAAAAAAATACAGTGAACTGTGTTTTCGTTCCAGTGTAATGATTCCAAGTGTAACACAGAATTCTCAGTGGACCCTTAAAGGTCATTTCCATGGAAATGGGCAGTGGAGCCCAACCAGCAGAAAGCAACAGCGAGCTCCCATTGGGGGATTTGGTGCTCCAGTGAGGACCTAGGTGATGCCTTGGTCCCGTCCCCCCTATGGTCTTGACTGATGAACCTTGTTGAGGCAGCAGGAAATGATGTTCAGTGGTCAATTTGGGGGGTGTCGTCCGTTCTGATTATGTAGCCCTTCCCTGGGGGTATCCCCTCCCCCAGTGCGACTGCCCAACTTCCAGTGTCACAGAAAGTGAGCAGAATATCGAAGACTGCAGGGGAGGAGAGAAAGGGAGAGAGAGACCAACTAAATTACCATGAATTAGGGATGTCCATTTTAGATTTTTTTTAACACTCATTAATCGCCTATTAACCTCTAACTGATAAGGTAAAAATTACTATTCAGAATGAATGAGTGTCTGTCAATCACCAAATACCAAAGTACTGATACAGAAATGCTTTAGAGGTGTTTTCTAATTCAGAAATTATTTCTAGCAGTTATATCTAATTCAGCGCCCAGGGAGCAGTGCTTGGGGCAGTACCTTGCTCAGGGTACCTCAGTGGTACTTTTGCTGGTCGGGGATTCAAACCGGCAAGCTTTCGATTCCAAGTGCGCTTCCCTAACAATTAGGCCATCACTACCCATAATATGCAACTTTCATATTATGTTTTTATACATATTTATTAATAATCACACTGCGTCCATTCAACGTCAGTAACTGTAAGCCAGACAGCCAGGTTACTGAACGTGAAGTGCAGACGCAAACACCGAAATATATTACAAAACTGCATATAAAGCCAACTTGCTCAAACTGGCTTTCTGGAATATTTCGGTATAGACCTACATATCCCCTCAAGCGAGAATATCAGGGAGCTAAACCCAAAAGCGGGTTTGGGTTTAAACCTGGACTATGACACGGCAGTAAAATTAGCTTTATATTCATGGTGTGCATTGTCCTCGTAGTTTAATGTTTAAAGCACACTTAACTTGATATATCTGTATTGTTTAGATTTGTACTTGTTAGTCCATTAATTCTGTCTGTTGTACTTTAAATGGACAAAGTAGTTATTATCAGTAATGGAAAGGTATCGGGAGATCACAAAGTCCATCCCAACTTTACCACCTTAGGGAGATCTCGCAGAAGTACTTATTTTATAACCAGCAATTTTATAAGCATTCTTTTCTTATTATTAACTTTCACTATTAAGCGGTTAAAATTCTTCTTATCAATTAAATGGTGAATTATGCAAACCCACAGACATTTGTCTCATATTTGTGGGTTGTGGGATTGGCCCTTCCTTGGAATGGCATCCCATTCAGAGCGCCCCCTGCTGCCTGGGATGGGCTCCAGACTCACTGTGACTCCTTCTGGGATGAGCAATGTGGAAAATCGTATATAAATTAAAGGACTGCAAAGAACAACTCGGAAAAGGTCATAGGTATGAGATTTCATGCCTACATAAACTGTTCAAATATCTATTAGTCCTCTATACACCTATATATAAAGTTGCAAACCTTGCTACACAACTCTGCTGTCCAACTTATCTATTTCCAGCAGATCAGCATTTCTTGGTCTTTTTGACTCCCATGACTCCTTTTTTGGAACAGAGTATGAGATCTCTGGAAAGCCAAGGTTGCACCAAAAGACTTTCATGGCCAGTGTAAATGACCGTATCAGCCACTGGGGGGTGCTGGTGGCTAGTTTTTAATTTCTGCGATTATTACAGAACGCATTCAGTGAACAACAGCCAATGAGCCAATGTCATTAGGTATTACACAGCAAAATCGTTATTATACATCAGATCATATGGCAAGAAAGTGGTCAAAAATAACACTGTGTTTAATTACAAGAAACCAGCCCAACACTGTACACAAAGTAGGCAGCCAGTCAGCCAAAGACTCCAATGTATTATCATCTAGTCATCCATCCATTTTTTGAAACTGTTTGTCCTATTCAGGGTCGCAGGAGGTCCGGAGCCGATCCCGGAGGCCACAGGCACAAGGCAGGGAACAACCCAGGATGGGGGGCCAACCCATCGCAGGGCACAATCACACACAATCACACTCAGACACCATACACTCACACACCATACACTCACACACCATACACTCACACATGCACGCCTAGGGATATTTTGTAACTCCAATTAATCACAGCATGATTTTGGACTGTGGGGGAGGGGGGAAGAACCAGGGTACCCAGAGAAAACCTCACAATGACATGGGGAGAACAACTTAAACTCCACACAGGGAACCTGAGCAGAGATTTGAACCCGGGTCCCAGAGGGGTGAGGCAACAGTGCTGACCACTGCACCACCATGTCACCCCATGTCAAATAATAATAATAATTATTATTATTATTAATAATAATAATAATAAATAATAATAATAAGTATTTTCCCGCTATACACGTGTAGCTTTTAACACAGAAAATCGTATAGGCTATCACGGACACGGGAGAGATTGCCCATTATAGGCGGCACGGCTTACCCTGATTGATGGCCAGGATTTTGGAGTGGTAGTTCTTGGCGTTGGTCTTCTTCACCATGTACTCACTGATGGGCAGCCTGGCACTGGGCACCCCACCATCTCTGGCCCTCAGGTAAGTGATTTTCTATGCAGAGCAGCAGGGGGCAGTTCACCAATGGAGAAGCAGCTTCAGATAACCAATCATATACAGACAAATGCTGAACTCTTGCTATGGTTTGTTAGCTTATCTGGAATATGACTGGAGAGCAAAGGAGTGATGGAGTTGATATTTGACACCTCTTAGCCAGTCTACCTCCCTTTGTGATTCTTTGGTAATCAAGACGGGAAATGGCTGTAACATCCTGTACAATTTGTAATCAACCAGATCTGTGGAGGACCCACGCACTCCCAATACTGGATTTCGACATGCTCTGACAGTACTTCACCTTCTGAACGCTCTCATCCACCAGCCCCCCAAGGACGTACACCTTGTCCGGCTCCACGTACTCCAGAGCTGAGACAAGAACAAGATAAACGGGGGGGGGGGGACTCAAAAAATGAAACAGTGAAAAATCCAGAAGACACGGACGAGGCGAGTACCCCAGAGGTACACAAAGGGACACAGAGATCAGGACCGAACCCTCATCCTCCTCATCACTGCTTCACACGGCTGGAGCAAGAATGTGTATTATCTGAAAACATACCTGCTGTCATACTGCATATCGAAAGAGTGGATTCCCATACAAGTCCAAGGCCACTCACAATTACAGCACTTTAGGTAACATCAGTTACTGGTGACATGGTTACCAGTTACCATTTCAATGTGTAATTTTCATTAAAACTGTGGTTGATTACCTCACTTTGAAATGCTCACGTTAAATACTGACCAGCATCACCCAGCAACATGCAACATGGCCTTGTTTTGCGTCACTGAAAACAGGGCGGAAGGCAGTGACAGAGCTCTGGAGATTTTTAATGTCAATACACATTTGATATGGTTCTCATATATGAACATAATGAATTGGCTATGTTATTATTTCAATATTTATTTAAACAAAAAGTGCACAGTGCTGCTAATTGTATTTGTGGTTTTCAATATAAAACTTGGTGATATTATATCAGTTTTTGTATCAGTACTTTTTGAACATTTTCAGCACATTTTAACAATACTGATAACTGCAATAATTTTGGTCACTATAATTGCGATATTAAATTTTCATATGTTTCATCTAACACCAATGAAGGTAGACTTTTAGCTAAGGTGAACAATGAACAGCCTGTCTGAAATTCTGCCACAGTACCCCTTGTGATACACAAGGGGGCGCCCTTGACATGTTCACAGGCACAGCGTACACAGTTTGCCGTGACACGGGCAGGATCGCACCTTGCTCAGCATCCGGTGTGAGGTAGATGACACTCTCCTGAGGGAAAAGGTCTAGGAAGCTGTCCTCCGTGATGTCGATCTGAATGACGCAACGCAGGCTCATTATGTAAGGTCCAGAGGTGTGTTTGGTGGGGCTCAATGCCCTGCCCCACCCCGCCTGTCTCAATACTCCTACCGCATAGCGAAGGAAGCCATCGTTCATCCTCTGACACTCCCGATACAGCAGGCTGTCCTCCTTCAGGTCGGTTAGGAAGAGATGGAACGGCTTCCTTGCCCTCCGGTTGGACCCATACAGCCTCCCAATCTGGCCTGCCAGCCTGCTAATTTCCTACACAGCCAGGATTAAAAAAAGAATATCAATCTATCTCAGCGCTGCGAGGAAAAAGCCGACTGCTGAAGGGGCCACCACCTGCCTTGGGAGACATGCAAACCGCCACACTCAGGTCCACACACAGCCTCGGTCCCGTGACTCGGGCCTGTGCCAGCCGCTCCCTGGCGTTGACCTTCAGCACCCGTTTGCTGTCCTGAAGGCTGTCCGCAGCAGCGCCCGCATCACCTGCCCAAGCAAGGTATCCAAGGCGACGCTTACCAATTACCATCTGCTTTCTGGGGTTTGTCCTAATCAGATCTATGCATCAGTTTCCCAGCTGCAGGTAACTTAATGAATTCTAACGAATAAAATGCAAAGCATGAGGGAATCAACAGGAAAACCGGAGTAAGGCACACATAAGTGCTGAGGACACTACGGATAGGGACAGACTGGCTCCCATGCATCTCAATGGCGCCATGATCACCTGACGCCTCAGCTCTCCTCTGCCTTCTCCTCAGCTTCTCTCCTCTCCTCTTGCTCCTCTTGGCAGCCAGCTTCCGCTCCCAGTTCCTCTGCTTGCGCAAGACGTTTTTCTGTTTGGTTCGACAAAAACGTGTCAGACCGGACACTCGACAGCCTGCCAGCTCGCTGCCTCTGTCACAAGCTGCCCGCTTCATTCAGCAGCTGTTGTTGCTACTAGCAGCTCTGGAGCCAGTATGCAATCCCTGTCACGTAAAGAACGTTTATGACGAATCAACCCTGTGACACCCTTTTAAAAATCCCGTTGCTATTCTACTATGGTATTTTCATTCAGCCGTTTTGAGAATTATACTGTTGGACTTATCTCCATGCCAATTCATACCATCTAAAACCAGATAATCTGCACGCGTACTTGAATTTCCATTAGGGACAGACTTCGCTGCGACATCACTCACAGAGTGCAAGATTTCTTCGCCATCACCGCCGAATTTCCCGGCCGTTTCACAGTCAATTTCAATGTGCAGCAAGCCAAGCGCGTCAGAGAGCCCGGACTCCTCCGTGTCCTCCAGGCGATCGCCATCCTGTGAGGACGCGGCTTCCTGCCCTACACCTCGGGACCAATTCATGGTCTGTGTGTGATCAAAGACCATAATAACACGGTTACATGTGAGCTCCTCATTATCGATTACAGTGTATCTGATTTTAGATTACCCTTAGTACCCAAGCCCGCAAAAAAGTGTAAACGAGTAACACAAACAGGTACCTAGATGTTTCGCTGTCTTACCGAGTAAATCGTGCAGTTTCTCTAAAGACACAATCGGCCAGGCAAAGAACTGACGTTATACATAAATACAATAATCTTTTTAATAACCATGTCTCTAAATGGAGAGATCAGGCAGACAAACTCATAAGAAGTTCATAAAAACCTCGTGGGGCTTGTTTTGCGTCGCTGGTATGACATCATCACTGTGCTGCGCCCCTTCGGGGTTATTCGAGACTTTTCGTGTATTTTCGGAGGACCAAAATAATAATAGGCTAATACAATAAGATTTCATTTGACAGCCAAGCTAATTGTTTATTTTACTTTGATTTACTATTAGTAAATGATGATGATTTTGTAATTTTGGGAAGCTGTGGACATTGTATCACTTTTTAAACTGTCAGTACTTATATTTGTAGTGATAATGCTTAATACTGTATACAAATACAAACATTTCAAATCTATTATTTCGTAATTTAATTGATCGTTTTGTCAGCTGCTCACCGAATTCGATTTTATGTCGAAATTGCTGGATCAATATTTTGACACATTACCTTTTATAAGTGTTTTGTTTATTTTCATATCAACTATTCAGTCAAGTACGTATTTTCAATAGTGTTCGGCTACATAACCGTTTATTAAATTCTGTTTTTGTTCATACGCTACGGTAATTATATATAATTATAGATATGCGTTGAATATTGAACATGGAATGGAGAAGCAATAGTTTTTAAGCAGCTTTAAGAAAAGAATGCGCATATATTAACCTTGAAAAACGTCTGTTACTTACAAAAAGGCATATCGCGGACAACTTTTGGCCAGATGCTGTTTGCGAAACTAACAGCCACCTAGATGCATGGGAATTCAAGCCTTTAATGAGCACAACAAATTAATTCAGCAGCTCACAGAACTTCTCATTCACTTTATAGACAGGAAAACGAGCACTTTAGGGTGATTGTGTTTCATAATGAATTGACGGGCGCCCCTTATTATTATCGTCCCAGTTGTAACCAAGCAGAGCGGCATCCAGCAGACCTTCGGCGTGCTCCTGCTTTTTTTTGGGAATCCGGCAGGGAATAAGTCGGTTTCCCGTGTAAAGGACAAGCGCTGTGTGCCGCGGTCCCACACCGGCATCGCACAGCGAAAGGCGCCGGCGTCTTCGGAGCGGTTCGGGCTGCTCGCCCTTCGGTAAAGGGCGGACCGGGTGTTACATCCCGAGCGCTGGATGGTGCGGATAACGGGACGGCTTGCTGACATGGGAAGCACGGGCGAGCGCTTTCGGCAGGGCGATCGGGAGGAGCGCGTCTCTCAGCCCGGTATGGCTTTTCTGATTCAAGCGGCGCGGGAGCAGAATCAGGCTTTTTAAAGCCTTACTAAATTCGCCATCAGTCTTCGTTTTTAACAGTGTCAGCTGTTTAGAACGAGTGCCTTCAAAACGTCTTATACACTAAGGCACTTGTCATGTTGATCTCACGTGAATATGTCTGCCTAGTTTCATGTTTTTATGTTAATAGATTTTAATTTTTTGGTGAATTTTTTTTTTTCTTGCCATATGGATCTGATTCCTCTGCTTTTGCCTTAGAAATATGAGTCGCTGGTTGTAGAGACGGAAAAGTATTTTGGAGTTAGATGCCATGGGTCCCGCTCCGCGTCCCCCGTCGCTGCCTCTCCCGGGTCAGTATGCGGACGTCAAGCCGAACCGACGCTGCTTCGAACCGCAGACTCAGAGTAAAGGTGACATTTTCCAAGCTGCCAAATTTGGGTAAGTGGCAACAGGAAGACCTTAGTATAAAAAAATGTCTATATATTGGCTAAATTGACGTATTATGTATTATTTTGCATACTATATAATGTAAATTTGATATATTATTTAATGAGATTCCTTTGATGTCTAAAAAATATATAGACCTATAATTATAAAAATATGTATTAACTGTTATTTATTCTTGGTTGTGTTTTGATGAATTTTTAAAAGTCTACTTTTCACTTAAGTGTCCCAAGTCAAATAGATCGCGTGTGAAATCGGGTTTACGCACGTAAATATCTTTGCGTTTTGTAAAGTGATCTACTGTTTCGCCACTATTAAAGTGTGTCGTATTAGTAGGTTTCCATATTTATAACAGTAAGGCGCTTGTCCTTCTGACCCGACCGCAGCCTTCTGGAGGAATGTAAGCGTATCGTGTCAGCCGAGGGGCCGGGGCTGCTGGACAGGTACGACGACTGGGGCCACTCGCCAGCTCACTATGCCTGCCTTGCCGGCAGTGTGGAGGTCATCAGCTTCTTCTTGGAAGCTGGTGCACCAGTGGACCTCCCCAGCAAGGCGGAGTTGTCCCAGAGACCCATCCACTGGGCCGCGGCAAACGGACATGAGGCTGTGGTGCACCTGCTGCTGGAGGCCGGCGTCGCCCCGAACGTGGAGGACCAGAGGGGCTGCACCCCGCTGATCCTGGCCGCTCAGAATGGGCACACGCCGCTCTGCTGCTACCTGATAGTGAGTGGGGCCCAACCCAGTCTGTGTGATGTGGAGGGGGACAACGCCCTGCACTGGGCGGCCTTCCAAGGTAAGCCCCCCCCCTCACTGTGTGTCTGAAGTAGCGTGTGGGTCTCTTTGTGATCAGACGGCGCTTCAAGTCCCCGCACGGGTTCTGATGCTGCCCTCATAAGCAAAACTCTACAGCTAAAGTCAGGGGTGTAGGGAGAGGACAGGCAAGGCAGGCAATTGCCTGGTGCCCCCAAGCCGGGAGGTGGCCCCTAAGCTGGGAGGGGGCCCCTAAGGTGGGCCAATTTCATAGTACCTTGCAACAACAAATCTGCTTTATTTGTGTATTCTGTTTTTCACAGTAACGTGAAAACAAAGGTCTTGTGATAATTAAATTCTTTGTTGATATAATTAATTTGGACTTCACGCAAAAATAATTGTCATAAATTTCACCATGCTAGGGGAGGTGGGGCTGGAGGGCATTTTTTGCCTCCAGGGCCCCCAGTGTCCCTAGAATCACCTCTGGCTTTAGAGAATAATCACTTCTTTAGAGAATGCACTGTACTCCATACGGGGTGGCTCAGCAGGTTAGGACACTGCGACTGTGAGCAGAAGGTCGCTGGTTCAGATTCCAGGACTGGCACAGTGGTTTCACTGTTAGGCTCATGAACAAGGTTCTTAACCCCTGGTTGCTCCAGGGACGGGCTGGCACTGTGTCTCCTAAATGAATCAAAGCATACATAAGAGACATGGAGGATGGATTATTACAACAGGAATTTATTCAAGAAATTCAACGGTACAACAGCAAGTCCCCACTGGGATGTGAGCAGTCCTGCTCGTGGAGATCTGCGTGGCGTAGAGATGCAATGAGGCCATTTGCTTCCCCTTAGAGGGTGTCTGTCCAGGGCAAGAAGTTAACTCTTCATGCACAGGTTCCTGTAGGGGCCCTGAGACACACTCCAGGCGGGAGAGTGAACTGGAAGACAGAATGAGTGTTGGGTCGCTGGCTGACCCCCTTTCGAGCTGGAAGGCCGGCAATCGCCGGCGGGATGGCGGAGACACCCCATCCCCCCCCCCCCCAGCTCGTGGGACTCGCCCTGACCCCCTTCCGCTTTCCTCCTCAGAGGTCCATTAGCGTTAGCCAGGCTGCTTTCCGTTCATCTCACGTGAGCGTGCGACCGGGCTAATGGCTCTCCCACGGGCCGCGGCTGCTCTCTGACGCCTCCTGATTTATTACGCAGGCCGGTGCGCCGGGGTCGCGTGTGTAGCGGCCCCTGTCTGCCGGAAGGCCTGTTTCCCCGCACGCCTCGGTCCAGCTGTGCTTCTGCCCGCTCAGCAGCCATCTATTATTTATCGGGGTGTTACAGGCGCTAAGTCAGGGCAGCGGCAGCCTGCTTATGCTTAGTGCGACCTGAACACGCGCGTGTTCACGGCCCCCGCTCTGAGCCCGATGCCTCTCGCTCTGCACAGGACACCGGGAGCTGGTCCAGCTCTTACTCTACTCAGGACTCGACCCCAGGCAGCCCGATGACTTTGGGCAGGTAAGAGTGCCTCAAATGTACATTTGAAATATCTCACATTACGCCATGTGGATCCCAGAGGTTCTGAGGGATCCACATCCCTCTAAGTTAAATAAATATTTCTAAGTTAAATAAATGTTTCTGTGACTGAGGAACCCTGACCTGAATGACGCCAGGTGCAGATATGCATGCGTGACAGTGTGGGGGGGGTAACCAGTGAGAGTAACCAGTGAGAGTAACCAGTGAGCTTCTCAAATGCATTGATGAGAGACCATATCAGTGTTTCACGCATGTCATGAATGATGGTCTGGATCCCTCTGCTTCCTTGGCAGGGCGGCGTGAGGTTGTTAGGCAGCGTGTTGTCAGACTTCTGCACCTCCCCCACCCCCAAATTCGCTGGTCTAAATAAAGACCACGCTGGACTTCCTCAGTCTCTCCTGGCAGAGTGCGTGTCAGTGCGTTTGTGCACTCGCGAGTGTGAGAAAGCGTGCGTGGACGTGTGAGCATGTGTGCGAGCCCTGCGCGGGAGCGTTTGCGCGTGCGTCGCCTAATGCCGCCGCTCCAAGGACGTCTCCCTGCTCCCTGACGTCTGCGGACAGACCACCTGCTCGCCCGTGGCTGCACACTCAGCAAAGTCTCCCAGCGCCTGCAGTCCGCTCCGGCCCTCTGCCCCGGCATTTGGCACCAGTGCGGTGTGTACCTGCGTCTGCCTGCGTGAGCCCCTGTGGGCCCAATGTAAAGTGAATTCACTCCATCCGTCTCGAGCATTCAAGGATTTCAAAGATTCAAACGCTTTATGGCCAATTTTACAAGCATGTGTACAATGAGATACTTGCTTGTGTACCTCCCTGCAGATGTAAACAACATATGACGGTGAAGAACAATATGATAGAATAGTGAAGAGTAACATACAATAAACATACAATATGTACAGAATCCAAGCAAAATGCAATATCACACAAGCAGAATATGATGCTGCGGTTTGAAGTGGCAGCGAGTAATGAATTACGGTGGTGACTGGATGGTACTGAATGTCCTAATGTAAGGTGAGATAAGATGGACTTTGTGAATCCCACCAAGGGGCATTTTGGCATTACAGCAGCAGTTATAGACAAGATCAGAGAATACACACAACATAAGAGCAGAGTATGAAGGGACATGTTTATATGTATGTGTGTGTATGTATATGTATGTGTGTGTATGTATATACATAAACAGACAACCAGATAGCAGCCAAAGCCTAAGAAGTGGGATTGTACTGCAAAGTGACATGTGGCAGAATATAAAAGCATAGGCTGTGAGGTTAGGAGGTTCAGTGTTCTGTTACGTAACTAAGGTGGGATTGTAAGGAGCTTTCTGGGATTCAGGGATACAAACGGGAATCGCTCGCAAGTTGTCCTTTCTCTGTCTCTCTCTATCTCTCTTTCTGTTACTCTTTCTGTCTCTCTCAGTCTCTCTGTCTTGCTCACTCTCTCTCTCACTGTTTTTTGTCAAAGACTTGTCCATGTCTTTTACTCTCTCTGTTTCTCTGTCTCTGCTCCCGTGTCTCTCACTCTCTCTCTCTCTCTCTATCTCTCTCTCCCTCTGTGTCTGTCTCTCTCTCTGTGTCTGTCTCTCTTCCTCTCTGTCTGTCTCTCTTTCTTTCTCTGTCCCCGTCTCTCTCTCTCTCTTTCTCTCTCTCCGTCTGTCCCTCTGTCTCTCTCTCTGTCTGTCTCTCTTCCTCTCTGTCTGTCTCTCTTTCTCTGTCCCCGTCTCTCTCTCTCTCTCTCTCTCTCTCTCCCTCCCCCTCTCCCTCCGTCTGGTGCTGACCCCCATGAGCGCCCACATTTACTCTGCACTGTGTCCCTGGGTCAGACCTGCAGCTCTGGGGGTCTGAGGCTCCAGTGTGTTTTACCCCTTGAGCCCCCGCGACACTGCGCTCTCTGATCTATGGTGCTCCTTCAGCACCCTAAGCGAAGCCTTTCGATGGGGATGCAGGTCTCGCCGAGCGGGAGGGGCGGCTGCCCGGGCAGTGAGTCAGGGTCTCGTTTAGCTCATAGGATCCATCCAGCCTGAGCACAAAGAGCCGGAGCCACCGCTAAATGTGTCATCTGTGCCGGCAACCTGAGGATGAGACGCGCTCGGCTGAAACACAGCGCTCGCCCGTGTGTGTGTGTGTGTGTGTGTGTGTGTGTGTGGGAGCGTGCACGCGTGCGTGCGAGGAGAGACAGATGGATGGTGTGAAGGGCACCACAGTGAATCTGCACCCCCCCCCCGCCTTGACGTCACAATCTGCCGACCACCTGAAGCAAAAATGACCATCTTGTCATTTTAATTGGACACGTTAGATTTTTATATTTATATTCCCCGTCTGCTTTAGATTTTATCATGGGGCTTTCGGTTCGAGAAATGAGGTCTGGTCAGCTTTATGCAGAGCAGGAGGCGGGGAGGTGAGCATAGCCCCGCTAGCCCTGTTTCCCCGGCCTCTCGGTCCGTCGCTTTTTGGGAGGTGATTAGCGGGTCACCTTCTAATCATTTCCTGCGCCGGCTCTGTTTGTCTAAGCTTTTCCAGAACAATGACAGGAGGGGGATGCTTACAAAAGCTCGCCTCCAGCCATTAGCGGCTGAGCTCACGTCCCGGTAGGGGGGGCCTCCTGTTTTACCCCCGAGGGGGGTACTTAACCGGAATTGACCTGAAATATCAGGCCGCATAGATGGCAAAATGTACTGACCGTTCCCAGAATAGCAGGACTGCTCTGCTGTGGCTTTGAGGTGAGTTGGGTGTAGTACCAGCGTGTGAAGGTAGGGGGCGGTGTGTAGGGCAGCACTCACAGCAGGTGTCCCTCTCCCCGACAGACGCCCCTGCACCTGGCTGTACTCAGTGGTGACATGAAGACCGTGAAGCTGCTTTGTGAGCAGGTGAGTCCCCCCCCCCCCCGCCGTTCGCGTCCCTGTTCGCGTCTGTCCCAATCCCCACTGCCACCAGTCCACCCATCACCGTGACAAACAGACCGTGTGAAATCGCACGCTGCCAAGGCCATACTGCAAAGGCTGTGTAATGAGTGGTCCGGAGTGAGCGGGGTGCCGTGTGCGAGTGTGTCCTGGTGAAGCGGCCCGTCTCACTCCCCGATGGCAGCTCACTCTGCTATCCGGTGACGGGCCAAGCGCGTCATTCAATCTCTCTATCCCCCCCCCCCCCATACCCCAGTCGCCCAACAGGAAATTACATTTCCGGGCCACATTCTCCACCCCCCGCCAGTACACTTCTGTGGCGATTCCAGAAGGCACAGATTGAGGGCGATAGCGCTCAGAAAAACGCCTCACGTGCACCGGCAGGTGACTCTTAAAGCCCGATGGTGGAGCCCCTCGCTGTTTTAAAGTGGCAGACGCGGGGGGACTCGGCGAGCCGCTCGGACAGCCGGAAAGCGGCAGCCTCGCCGACGGCCCCTTGTGGCTGCGCGGAGCCGCACGCCGTGTTTGTAAACACGGGCCCTGGCCTCGGGTTCGGTCTGACCCCGCTCAAGCCGGGGTGTCTCAGCTTGTGAGAGACGGGCTCTCCGTGCTCTCAGTGTCACCTCTGTGTCCCCCGCGCCCCTCACCGGGGACTGCCTTTGAATTACAGTGGTTTCTTTGCCCCGGGTTCAGTTTCTTGTAGTCAAAGAACTAAATGTGTAAAGAACAGACAGGTGGGGATGGCAGTGCTCAGTGCTCAGTACTCAGTGCTCAGTACTCAGTGCTCAGTACTCAGTGCTCGGTGCTCAGTGCTCACCGCAGTGATGGACAGAAGCATCTGCTAAATAAATGAATGTAAATGTCCGTCCATCCATCCATCCATCCATCCATTTTCTATATCCATTTATCTTACTTAGGCTCATGGGGGTCCGGAACCTATTTTGGAAACAATGGGCACAAGGCAGGGAATAACCCAGGACGGGGCGCCAATCCGTCACAGTCAATGTCAATGTAAAATAATCAAAAATCGTTTTTTCTCCAAATTACATTAAAACCCTATTATTGTGCTTTTTTAAAAACCGAACCCAGGTCTTCCTGCTTGTGACCTTGACTTCCTACATTCTATTTCGATTTGTCATCAGTAAGTTT